TAAAATTAGGCCCCTTTTTGTCCATCTTTCCAACTCAATGGTTTGGTCAGGTCAGCAATTAGTTTTATAGGTCTGGCCTTGCTATTAATTACATAATTAACCACAGGCCCTAACCAATCTGGACATGCATTCCAGGTGTGTATTTGCAATTACTTATTATTCAGAGACTGATGTAGGCCTACTGACTGAAAGAACAGTCCGAACACAGTCATGGCAGGGATTGTTCACATCTTCCATGCTGGAAGGAGAGGTTACCGCCAAAGGGTCCACACCGAGCGCCCCAAACCTCTCCAACAGTACACAACAGAAGAACTGTACAATCGTTTTCGATTTGGACTTGATGACATCAACTACATTGCTGATCTGGTCAGGCCACAACTGCAGTGCAGAACCTTGCGGAGTCATGCTCTGACTGTAGAGGAACAGGTCCTCATTGCCCTGCGCTTTTACACATGTGGAACATTCTATCAGGTCATAGCTGACAGCATGGGAGTCCACAGGAGAACAGTGGGTGAAGTGGTGACAGCTGTGTCTGATGCACTGGCTCGCCTGCTGGATCACTTTGTGACTTTTCCCAATGATGGCCAGATTGCCAAAGTGAAGCAGCAATTTTTTCTTCTGGGAGACATGCCCAACACCATTAGGGTGATCGACTGCACCCATGTACATATTCAAGCACCTCGTCAGAGGGAGTGGGAATATGTCAACAGGAAAGGGATCAGCATCAATGTGCAAATTGTGGGAGATGCTGACCACCTTGCCATCACCAACTGTGTTGTGAGATGGCCTGGGTCAGTCCATGATGCACGAATCTTCAGAGAGAGCCGGTTGTTCACTGAATTTCAAACCAACAGGCCGGATGGAGTTATATTAGCCGACAGTGCCTACCCACTCCTACCATGGGTGATGACACCTTTTCCCACGGCAAACACTCCCTCACAGATGCGCTACAACAACGCCCATGGAAGAACAAGGTGTGTCATTGAGCAGCTTGAATGGAGTACTGAAGAGGCGTTTTGCATGCCTGAACTATCTGAGAGTGGAACCCCAACGAGCATGCTGCATAACACTGGCTTGTATTGTGCTACACAATATCGCTGTCCATCGCAGAGTCCCCCTCTCTGACATCGATGATCCCCCAGAGTCCCTCGCACCTGCTGATGATCTAGGCCCACCTATGGATTTCCCTCTAAATGAGAGACTGAGTGGTGGTGCAATGCGAGATGCTATTGTCCGCAATTACTTTTGAAAGGTGATGACAGATGATGGACCTTTTTTTTGTTGAAGATATTTTTTCTTTAATCTAAATTACATTTGTGATTGACAATCGTTGTTGTGATACTTTTATGAGCATAAACATTTATGTCATCAACATTTGGTTGAAAACAAAATAGGCCACCACAAACGTGAGCAAAAATGGAAAAATAAAATGTATTTCCCATGAAGGCTAAAAATGGTATATTATTTCAGTTAACAAACTTTGCCATCTTATTTAAATTGAAACATATTTTAAAATAAATTGTACAGTACATTTTGCTCTGGTAATCCACCTCCTGGTGGGATCAGGATAATCCATTTTTTTGGGATCAAACTGATCCCAATCCTGTGTTACCCATTTTGAAGATTTGATCCAGATTAAAGCTTGGATTGGATTTCCTGATCTGATCGGATATCAAAGTGATCCTAATCCTGTTTTTTGGTTTTGAACTACCCAAAATCCAAATCTGATCTGATCAGATAGGGATTCAAAGTTTTGAACTCCAGGGCCCAGAACACAGGGAACATCAAGAAAAGCATAATGGGGCTCCTTTAAAGTATCAGATTTGGATAATCACTGTTTAAATGAAGCTCCTCGATGCACTTGCAAGTATGAGTGAAGGTCAAGAGATCAGTGAAAAAGATTTACATTTTAATTTAAACCTACCACAAGTCAAATATTAGCATACATATTTGAAATAATTTGTCAATGTTTAACAAACTAGAGAATACAATTCCTGAAGAAATTGCTAGTGGGAATGCTTTATGCTGAAAAGCTGACGCTGAATTGCTATGCTGAAATGTAATGTGTAAGAAGAAAGTGAAGAATTTAGATTGAAATGATACATGAACACTGGGGGCTTGAATGTGTGATGAGAGAAGAAAAGAAAGTAAAAAGGCTTGGAAAAGCAGCAGAATATTTGAACTGCAAACTTTTGAACTAACTTGATGGCGAATGCTCTATCACCATGGCAACGGCATTTGATGACACCCCATAATACGCTTAGATGTGTTGATGGCTGCATCGTTACCAAACCTGTGAAGTTTTGGGCCATTTCGAGCATTTGAACTGAAGTTGTGAGAAAACCGTGTTTCATAGTGAACGTTATGTTGCCAAGGCAACGGCATTTGAAGAAATCTTAAAACTGTCAAATAGATGTCTTCACGGCTGGACTGTTAGCACACATGTGAAGTTTGAGTTTAAAACCACAGCACTGAGACTGCTCTTGTAAAGGTCTTCAATGACATCCACTTAAACACAGACAGTGGCAGAACTTCAGTGTTAGTATTATTAGATCTCAGTGCTGCGTTTGACACTGTTGACCACAACATATTACTAGACCGACTAGAAAACTGGGTGGGACTTTCGGAAACAGTTCTAAATTGGTTTGAGTCCTACTTAAAGGACAGAAAAAACTTTGTTTCTATAGGTAAATACACATCTGGGTTGACAAATATGACATGTGGGGTACCTCAAGGCTCCATCTTGGGGCCTCTTCTCTTTAACATCTACATGCTACCACTGGCTCAGATAATGAAAAACAACAAAATAAGTTACCATAGCTATGCGGATGACACACACATTTACGTAACAATTTCACCAGGAGACTATGCTCCAATTCAAACACTGAGTAAGTGCATTGAACAAATCAATGACTGGATGTGTCAGAACTTTCTCCAATTAAACAAAGATAAAACTGAGGTAATGGTTTTTGGAGCCAAGGCAGAACGTATAAAAGTTAGCGCTGAGCTTCAGTCTGCAATGTTCAAAACAACAGATAAAGCCAGAAATCTAGGTGTAGTCATGGACTCTGACCTGAGTTTCAACAGTCACATTAAAACAGTTACTAAATCAGCCTACTATCACCTAAAGAATATATCCAGGATTAAAAGACTAATGTCACAGCAGGATTTGGAAAAACTTGTCCATGCTTTTATCTTCAGTAGACTGGACTACTGTAATGGTGTCTTTACAGGTCTCACTAAAAAATCTATTAGAAAGCTGCAGCTAATTCAGAACGCCGCTGCTCGCGTCCTCACTAACACTAAGAAAGTGGATCACATCACTCCTGTTCTGAAGTCCTTACACTGGCTTCCTGTGTGTCAAAGAATAGATTTCAAAATATTGTTGCTGGTTTATAAAGCTTTGAATGGTTTAGGCCCAAAATACATGTCTGACCTACTGCTAAATTATGAACCATCCAGAACTCTCAGGTCTTCAGGGACTGGTCAGCTTTCTGTCCCCAGAGTCAGAACTAAACATGGTAAAGCAGCGTTCAGTTATTATGCTCCAAATATCTGGAACAAACTCCCAGAAACCTGCAGGTCTGCTGCAACTCTTACTACTTTTAAATCCAGGCTGAAGACTTTTCTTTTTGCCGCTGCTTTTAATTAAACTATTCATATCTTAAACTGCACTGTAACTTTTATCCATGTATTTTTTCTTTTAATGTTTATTTTATTATCTTTTATTTTTAATGACTGATTTTAAATGCCATTTTCTTAATGTCTACCATTTTTGTAAAGCACTTTGAATTGCCTTGTGTTGAAAGGTGCTATATAAATAAACTTGCCTTGAGCACTTTTTGACCATTTTCATAGGAGTTATAGCAATATCGTGTTTTACGGCGAGGGATGCATTGCCATGGCAACAGCTTTTGAGGAAAACTCACTAATGGCACAGACATGAAGGCTGGACCATTAACCATTATCTGAAGTCTGCTGCTCTGAGCATGTCAGTTGGAGTTATGACATCGTGTTCCATGACACAGGTGTTTATATTTGAGCTAACGACGTGTCCAGAGATCAAAGGTTTCCATGGTGATGTGCAGTAATCAGTGAGAGGAGAGCCTTTTCATTGTTCTGAATGAGAGATAAACCTCTTACATGTGAACGTTTTGTTGAACCGTAACAGATATTGGTGAAATTTCAACGTGTGAAGCATCTGAAGGAAGTTGAGCATCTGAAGTGTGCTTTTTGTGTACTTTCGGGTTAATGTGGCCTTTTTGGCAGATTAACTAAAGGTGTGCGGCTAATGCTGTGAGTAAAGATCAGCTTGAATTTACAATTGGCTTTAATGGAGACATGAACGTTTTTGTCACTTCATGCCCTCAAGAGGCATTTGGTTTAATTTATTTTTCAAGCTTAGAGATGTTTTCCTACGTTTGTCATGACAAATTAAGTCTCAGGAGTGTAGTGTTTGGGAATTATGGCAGGTTTAAAAAAAATATATGAAGGCGAATTTCAAGCTGTCCTCCACTCTAGCTTTGAGATCATACACACCTTAATGTTAAAATCTGAAGAAGGCCTCTTTACCAAGGTCGGAACAATGTTTAATATTTCTAAAAGAATGAATCAGATTTAAAAGTTGTTTAACATGAATGTCAGAAAGATATATATTTTTTTTAACTAAATGCTCACTCCAGGCAGTCTCCAACAAATGCATAAATTAGGCATATTTTGAGTTTCAACAATATGAATACTAAAATATGGCACACTTTTGGAAAGGTATTTTTCAAGCCTCAGGAGACTAAAGTTCAAGGTGCAATGTTATGATGAAGCAGTATGTCCGTATTGTATGCCTATTGCATGAAACCGTACACACAGGCAGTTGCTGTACAGTACATAATACATTTAAATATATGTGATTTGGAACGGAAAATTAGTTTGGACCTCCCCATAACCATAGAAAACACAACTATAGATTAAAAAAAACTCCAATATTCCCAAGAAAATACTACAAGTGTGAATTATTTAAAAATATTTTATTAGGACTTTGTTTAGGAGCTCATTATAATGATTGGTCCTGAAGTTACGTGTTTGAAACCAGGGTCATCTGAAACGTCACGATTTTGACCTGTGGGAGAAAAAAGAAAAATATATATCTTAGCCACTTTATTCAAAAGTCATTGTCCCATTTTATAATTTGAGCAAACACATGTAAACCTTATTGTACATTACTGGATAATGAAATCAGCATGTATGAGAGCATACCCTTCATCGTGTTGTCCTGGTCTGAACACTGCACATTACAAGCTGCATCCACTGGATTTCTAACATCACAGATTACCACCTCACAGTGGACAAAGACCTACAAGATATGAACAGATTTAAGGGTTTGTTATAGACAGCGTACTTTTGTTTTCCAAACTCTGATGCTGCGTTCACACCGGACGCGATGCTAATATTCACATCGCTCGAAGCGCTCGAGTTTCACCGCGGCTGCGTTTACTCTCATCATTCAAACAAGACGCGCTGGCTCGGGAGCTACAACTACAACAAAATGAACATATTTTACCGTGATTAAAATTGTAATACACGTTTCTAAATGATGCCGAAGTAACAACATACTGATACCGGTTGGTAAAAACCATAAATTAATGCTTGACAAGTCTGCAGACAAGACGGCAGGCGAAAAACCTTTTTAAATGCTTGTTGAATGAAGATCGGGTCGACCAGGCTAAGCTAACGTTGTATATGCTCATTCCACACTCATAACAATGAGCCTACAGACATAAATAAACCAGCGACTGTATTCGCCATGACACAGACAGTCTGTGGTTTGTACTCGTTTAACTTTTGTCCAGTTTCTGAACAGATATGAGGAGCTGTGAGCTCTGTGTGCTAACTGCTAATGTTTTCTGGTTGAACGTCAGGCTGAGATCCTCACCGCTGATTGGCTTCTGCGAGAACGCGTCACGTGAATTTGACACTCGAGTTGAAAAAAATTGAACTCTCGCGTTTGACGCGGCACCGTTAAATCGCGTGATTCGCGCCCACCGCTTCATGCTCGCTGTCGGAGCGAATTTGCGTCTGTCCGCGTCTCTGCATTGACTTTACATGTAATTGCGCCACCCCCAAACAGCGCGTCCGGTGTGAACGCACCATGAAGCATCTAAAAATAAAAAGACCATTTATTCTTATGACTGATAGTACCTGGCGGTTCAAGTTATCCTTGTCTTCGGCGAAGGCAAACATCGGGACCTCAAACCGCTTGAAGTTGGAAGGATAATGAACTCTGCCCTTAGGCAAAACAGAGTGGAAGATCACTGGGTGCGGGTCCCTTGAGTTTGCACAACTGAGGGAGAAAAAAAAAAAAGTTATTTTATTTGGGTAAAGATGTCCAAAAGTCTGCAAAATGAGCACCCTATGATTTTAAACCATCCCTTTTGTTCAGTTTGACAAACAGTTAATTGGGACAAAAAAAAATAAAGAAATATATACAAGTTACCCATTAACGATGAGGTCCCATCGAGGGAGGGACGTCTTGTCCTCCTCCAACGTCACCCAGCAGTACGCCAGCTCAAGAGATACTTTAGGGTTGTAAGATCCCATCAGTTCCACCTCGAAATACAGCGGCTGTTGTTGGTACTTTGTGATGGGATCGTCCTCAACGCGCTGAAACGCACTGTAGGAGTCGTCTGAAGTGAAGCAGAACATGTTGACCCGAATTAGACAGGAATAGAAACGGCCTGTACACAGAACATTAAGGTGCATAACGCAGAAGAGTTTAACTTGGATTTACATAGTCAACATCCCAGGTGCCAACTCAGTTCATTGGTTTAAAGATTAACTTTATGAAAAAAACCATTCCAATTACTTAAAGCAACTAGATTCATATGAACTGTCCAAGTTACCCAAAATCCTGCATTTTGATAGAAAGTGTTATCCTATCTCTTTGCATTAAGCTTTTTCAACGTGTTGACATGATCGAAAGAACTCTTATTTCCCCATGTTTCTAGCTTTGGGAGAGTTTCCAAATACTCAAAAAAATGAATCTAATCCTTAGCAAGCATGCAAGACAAAAACAAACCACACAAGGCATGAAGAACTTTCTTTACCCAAAGCAACTCTCATTTCAACCTGCATCTCGCCTCTTGCATCGTCAGTGTACGGTTCACTCCTGCGAGGTCGGGTGTTGAAGCCCATAGCCTGGTTTGTGTTGATGTCATAGTAACAGAACACCTGAAGCCTGAAAGAAGAAAACTCTTACGTGGGAACACTTAGAACTGTTCAATTGTTACCAATTGGCACCGTTAACATCTGGGATTGCACCATAGAAGGATTTATGGCGTACCAGTTGACTTCTGATAAGGAAAATACCATTTAAGAGTCTTTAAAGTTCTAACTTTTGTCACATGGTTAGCCTACAAAGTCTCTGTATTTGTTTTTAAATTTGGCGTCAGACTGTCAGTTTACATAATGGTGAACATGAATGTTTACGGCTGCAAAACCCAGATTTCTTTTAATAATGTCCAAGCTGAGAATTTCTCTTTTCTGACCAAAAGTCTAAAACCCAATGACCTGAAGTTTATCATGTTAAGACAAACAAAAAGCATTAAAAAGCTGACATTTAGAAAACTGGAAGCACTTTTTGTTAATTAATCTTCCATGTCATTTTTCAAGCAACAGCTTTGATAATAAATTAATCATCCAACCTTCAGCTTGGTGATTCCAAGTCTCGAGATACTCACACAAACTCCGGCTCCTTCAACTGTGACAGCTTTCTCAATTCAAGTTCATCTGTGATGGAGATTTCATTCTCATACACCATCATATTGGGCAAAAACTAAGAAAAGACAAATGGAAAGTCATTTCTCAGTTTTAAACCTACCGCAATCAGCAAGCTGTTCAGCAGCATGCTTTACCTTTCTGGTCGTCCCACAGGTGTTTGCAGTGAAGACAAAATAAGCGTACTGGTCGTTGCTGTATGTGGGGCCACAGGCGGGGTTTCTGAGGGTGAGCCGTCGGGGGTTCAGACTGGGAACAGACTCCATGGTTATAGCCAGAGCCGTGATGGTCCCATTAGGGAAACACCCTGAAAAAGACGATCAGACATTTGTATGCATTGGAGATTCAAGCCTACATAAGAAAACGTATTCTCTTTAACAAACCGATCAGCTTTGTGACGAAGTTGCAAGTCAAGGAGAAGTCTTTGATATGTTTGTTGGTCTTCGGATATCTCAGAGTCACATCCAGTCTGCTCTTGATGGATGACTCCTCAACAGCCTGAGAAGTTTTCAGAAACAATACATTATGATTTAAAGAGGACTATAATCGTGACAAATGTTGATAAATCCCTGCACATTTAAAACTTTGGTTAAGAGTCATACCTCGACCGTAGCATCAGCTGCAGAAGATGGTACAATCAAACTGAAATGTGTGTCGTTGCCCATTAAGCCGTACTGCTGAGCCAGGCTCAAGGTCAGCATTCGTTTTCCCATTATGGTCTGAAAGTTTAATCCTTTGGTCCCGTATTTCACGAGGACATGGAAATTCTTATCATCACAGCTACCTGAGACAGAGGGAAGATCTGCAGAGGGAGGAAAATACTTTGAAACATCTGTGCTCGTTTTGTTATGAATTCCTCTTATCCATGGGTACAGACCTATGTCTTCTAGTTTAGCTCTCAGATAAGCAGTGGCAGTAAATGGAGCATGCTTTGGCAGGACCAGGAAGCCAAAGGTCAGATGAAGATTGTAAATTGTAACTCCCATTTCTTTCTGTTGGAGAAACAGATAGTTATTAGCTGACAAAATTAAATAAAAAATGCATTTCATTTCCCACGTTGAGTGTAAGGCTCACCCTTTGTCCTACGACACGGTCCGTGAAGGGCACTTCAACAGTATAGACCTTTGAGAAGCCGTTAGGGGACATTTGTTCAAAGACTTTAAAGCCTCTGGCAATGCAGTCGGCCAAGGACAAAACCTCAGAGGGGGAGCTGATGTTCTTTAGTGTTACATCAAAGCCCACCGGCCCAATCAACGCCTTAAACATCATCTCCTTGGGAACAGTGGCTGTAGGTCAAAAATGAAGAAATTAAGGCAGGTTGCAATTTATGTAAAAAAGTAACATGAGTACCAAGATAATATGACTCACCGTCAATGACTTGTGGAGGTTGAAGCTGCAGGGGGGTCTCGACGGGGAGGAAGACTTTGTATCTCGTGTCCTCATTAGTGTCGTCTTCAGTCCAGAGCAACTCGAGCATCAGCTCAATCATATAAGAAGTGAAGTACTGACCATCCTGGACATGACTCTGCATAAACAAACATCCTGAGTAAGGCCTTTCCTGAATAACATCATCATCTACAGATTTAAAGAAAAAGGGAAATTTGTCTGGCAATGAAGCACTAGATGTTGCAACAGTCAAACATACTCACACGATCTGTTTACATTTGTTTTGTACATACCAACAGGATTTCAGTAGTGTTATTTTCCATGAAACAACAAAGTGTGATTGCTTGTTAAACTGTGTCTCTAAAGTCTAAAATGACTTGAATGTACCATTTAACTACGCTGATTTCTCCACTGTTGTGAGAAATTCTTTAGATCCAAGAAATATAAACATCTACATTTTGCCCTTTTGTAGTATTTTAGATGTTTTTTTTTGCATAGCTGCATACATGACTAAAACGACCTCGTCAATGTATGGACTCAATTGTTTTATCTAACCTTGATCTGGCAACCAGCAGCCCCAATAGGGATTTCAACAATGACGTAAAGGTCATCGAGAGTCAGGGAATAGTTTCTGGCCGAAATCTCTGTAGCTTCGAGCTTCCTTCCATCGACGCCCATGTTCATCTCCAACAGTCTGAAGTGTTTCGAGTAAATCAGAGGGTCAATGCGCCTCGGCAGGAACCAGCGGATTGAGGTTTCAGTAAAGAAAACCCCACCTGTACACCAAAAAAAAGCTAATAAATACACTTAAAGAAAGGTCTAACATGGAAAGATTTAAGGAAAAGGGCTAACGTTTCGGAAATAGTGAAATCCTCAAAACATTTTGACTGAACAAATAGTTAATCATTCGTATTTTATTTAAACAATCTGAAAAAGGAGAATTCAAATTATGAATGTAGCAGTTTTACAGCCACATACAGTAACAATCCTTAAAGTGTCATTTAAAAAAAAATAAAGCACTTCTTCCTGGATACAAGTTCTGGTGGGGAAGATATTTTTGGCTCCATTTTTAGAAAAGTTTGATATTTAAAAAAAGCTGGAATCAGAAATAATACTGGCAGATGTGTTTTTTTAATTCCTGACAGTAGAAAGTGCCCCAAATTCCGAGTGAAAAACACTAGAAGACATGACATCAGAGAGTCTCTTTACATTACCCTGAGCTTGAGGACAAGCGGCTCGTGCATAAAGTTGAGTAGTCAGCTTCGTCTTCTCAAATATAATCAAGGTGCTGAGCACAGTCATCGGCACACCTGCTACCTGCGGGGGGAGATTACACAACATGTGGATGTAAATGCATACTGTGGTAACATAATAATTTCCCTCGTAAAAATATGGGGGGGTTATAAATAAGAACTCACTGATTTAAGAGTGCCAACTGGATTCCAGACAAAGTAATGCATTTGAAAGGCTGTCTGATTACATTATTTTATCTATGGCTGCAAGTGTAAGCAAGTACCTAATGGGCTGCAAATGATTTAACAAGTCTGCCTGAGGGGAAAGATATCAAGTGAGAGTTGTTTGAATCTCAGTGAACTGCAGTCCACTTACATCCTTGGTGTATGTTTCACGTGAAGGATTTGGGCTTCGCAGCAACAGCCTGGTAGGAGTGCTTGAGATCCCATAACCATTTCTCTGGGCTTCGTCCACCTGCATGACCCTCTCCTCAGGAGTGAAGAACACCACTGTGTTGATTCTGAAGCTTGCGTCCATGGGTTGCTGTGAGGCAAATATCAAGACATTACATACAAGATGTTTCTAGAATAAGAAAAGAAAAAAAGGCAAAATGAGCCAGTCTTACTGTACCTCAGCAGCTTTTCGGGGATCCGAGTCGGAGTATGCAGGCAGGTTATATTCATTTGGAGCTGCTTTTTTCACAGACACCTAGAAATGAGGCCACTCCATAAGTGATAATCAATCTCTGCAGTGACATGCAATGTACCGGCCTTGACACTCATACGAGGCATCAAGCCACTAATCATATAGACGGGAACATGCCATGCTGCGTTCACTTGCCTCCATGTAGTTGGGTTTACAGATAATTTCCCGGGAGGCCCAGGGAGAGTAGTAGCAAGTTTCTTCCACCAGGTGAAACTCGTCTTCAACCACATTGTCAGATTGTAGCCGCAGACCTAGTTTTGTTGTGAATGCTTTATCATCCTAAAAACACATGGAAACAAGTCTCAAAATTAATTGCCATGTCAAAAGCAATATTTGGTGCTGCGTCACAAACTAGCATTCAGTCGTTTTTACCACATTTTGAGCAAAACAGTTTTGGACGGAGGCATAGATCACAGCGTTTCCCCTGTGGTCTTTCTTGATGGTGAAGCCACACTGAGAAGATAGACTTGGCATGAGGATGATTGAAGAGTTATCTGAGGAAACGAACAAGAAAAGTTCGAATTAAAAAAAATGAGATTAAGTTAAGAAAAAGCAACACATTTGAAATGTCAGCTTACTTATGACAGCGGACACTTCAAGAAAACTTCCTCCAAGTCCACTGACATCCACACGCAGCAAGTTTCCAAGGCATTTAGAGTTGATTTCTGGGATTAAAGATTTATATTAGATAGCAGCACACAAGTGTGTTGAAAAATATATCAAAAGGACAAAAACATACTTATTGGGTGCTTATTTTGTGCCTCAATGTTAACAACTGCTACAAGGAGAATGAACCACCTGAAAAAGATTGAATACATTTTAAATGTATAAAGAAAAATAAACCTTAATTTAAAATATATAGATAAAAAACAAAACTACAAACCCCAATCCAGCTGAACAACCCATGGCAAGAGTTGGGAGACTGGTGAAGGTCCCTGGTTTTTGCACTTTTTAAATGAATTTGTTGAGGATGAGGGAGGGTCCTGCTCAGCAGATATAACCACACACAGGTGGAGCACATTACTGCATAATGAGGTGATTGAGCAGGCCTGTGTGTAAAGTCTGAAGGGAATCCCAACATTTAGGGCGTTGAGGGTAGCAGAATGGCTGACTGAGCAGGGGAGAAGTATAGAAATATCTTTCATTAAAAAAGAAGCTGAAGCAATAATACTGAAGCATGGCCAAAGCAGTCGGATGAAGTTAAAAATAACTGAGAACAGCTAAATCTGTTAATCAGCTACCCAGTTTAGAGATTAGTAAGTATTTGGCATGAACATTAAGTTAATTTACTTATTTGTTTTGAACAATATTATATATTTGGTATGTTTCTTTTTTTCTTTGCATACACTTTTATGTTTAAATACTATACATTTTGCTGATATACTCACTTACTTTTACTTAAGTAACGTTTCTAATGCAGGACATATACTTGTATCAGAGAGAGTATTTTTACTGTGTAGTTTAAGAACTTTTACTTAAGTAAAATATCTGAATGTGTGTACAAGAAACTCCCTCTAAAGGAAACTTTGGGATTGTAGCTTTTGCACACGGCCAGGAGTTCAAAACTTTAATCTCAATCAGATCCGACCAGATTTTGAAATCCCATTTTTTGTGATCCAGGATCCACAAATCGGCCAGATTTTGTCCCTGTAGTTCAAAGCAATTCAGGATAGGATCACCCTGATCCAGATTACGACTTTTCAAGATTACTAGATCCTGAATATCAGTGCTTTAATCCTACCGATCGCCATCTAGTGGATATGAAAAATAATACAAGGAAGACAAGAGACCACATTGCAGAGACATCTATAATGTTTAATTATATTTTTAAATACATAAAGGACATTAAATCAGAATGGAATTGTAATTTTAAAAAATACTCTCACTAGGGTAACAACAAAAAAACATTCATTCAAAGGCAGCTGGATCATCCAGGCGTGCTTTGAGGAGCTGAATTCTTAGTGAGGTTTCAGTTTGCTGAAGCCGGCACAGCTGTATTTGTTCTTCTGCCAGACGGATCTGAATCTCTGCCCTCTCCGTTTCACGGCTCAACAGTGTCTCGTAGGCATCATCCCTCTGCTCTGGAACTGGTGATGGACTTCAGACGGCGCCAACACTCCCCCCGACACCAGTGAACATCCAGGGAGCGGACATTGAGAATGTGGAATCTTACAAATACCTGGGTGTTCACCTGAACAATAAACTGGACTGGACTGATAATTCTGCTGCTCTGTACAAGAATGGACAGAGCAGACTCTTTCTGCTGAGGAGACTGAGGTCTTTCGGGGTGCAGGGGGTACTCCATACCTGCCAACCCTACCGATTTGGGCGGTAGTCTACCGCTTTTGACATGTTTCTACCACCTACCGATTTAGCTGGCTTTCCCTACCGATTTCAATCTTCCCAAATTATTTTTTTTTTTTAAAATGCCCCTTGGCGCACTGACAAGCTGCTCGACTTTGGCTCCTATCCAATGAAATTGGATTTGCTCGTCACGTGATTAGTGTTTGGTTTTGGCGCCCCAGTTAAGTGTTGTTTATTCACATGACACACTGACAGCGACACACTGACAGCAACACACCGACAGCGACACACAGCGACAGGTTTTGATGGTTGTGATATGGAACTTCCGAGAAGAAGAAGCCCACCAAGCGGTGGGACAATGTATTTAAAGCCAAGTGGACAGCAGGTCACCCGTTCATCAAGGTATCACGGAGAGGAGAGAAGCACGCATTCTGCGAATTGTGTAGGTCCGACGTCTCGATTTGCCATGGCGGACATAACGATGTAGTCAAACACATAGCCCCCGAAAAACACAAAAGTAATGCGATGGCAGTCAAGGGTACTACTTTATCTGTCATGAATATGTTTGTTAAGAAGAACCAGTCAACTGCTGTGATTAATGCCGAACTGTTATTCCAAGGAATGGTGATCGAGCACAATTTACCACTCGCCCTGAATGATCACTACTCAAAGCTGGTGTCTCGGATGTTTCCGGATAGTGAAATTGCCCGGCAATATGCATGTGGACGTACCAAAGCAACACATATAGCGTACAGTGTGGCAAGCCACTCGGTTGACGGACTGAAAAAGGCTGTGGGTTTGAAGAAGGCACCGTACAGCTTGGCAACTGATGGGAGTAGCGACGAAGAAGATAAGTTCTTCCCAGTACTTATCACTCATGTGGATGAAGAGACTGGCCTGATCACAACTTCATTCCTTGACATGCCAGTCGTAAATGAAGCGACTGGTGAGAACATCGCATCGGCCCTCAAGGCGTCCCTTAAACAAGGTGGATTAGATGTTGAACAGTGTGTGGCTTTCTCGTCAGACAACGCGTCTGTAATGACTGGACAGCATCGTGGTGTGATGAGCTACCTCCGCAAGGGCAACAAAGACATCCATTTAGTGGGATGCCCATGCCACCTTAGTGCACTGGCAGCCAAGACTGGTGGGAAAGCGCTGCGAAGTTTCGATGTGGAGGATTTCATCATAGACCTCTACTATCATTTTGATAAAAGGTGGGCAAAGTTATTACTGAACACTTCATATAAAATTCAGGGAATATATTTGCATGCTTTACAATTTAAATGAGTGTTTATATCCTTTTAACCTTAATTTGTTATATTTAATTACTAGACAAATGGCCAGTGGCGACTGGTCATTAGGGGCACAGCCCCACCTAGTGTCAGCAGAAAGTATTAAAAATAATGATTACAAAAAAATAAATAAAAAAATATATAAAATATATTTTAAGATCATGTTTAATCATCTGATTCGTCTGTACATTGCTGTTTTAGTCTGTGTTCTTCTAATTTCTTCCATTTGAAATGGCACATAAATTATGATATTAAACTTATATTCAAGTTCATTATATTAAACTATTTTACATTTCTGTTTCTTAGTGCCAAGAGGAAGCATCAACTGAGGGAGTTTCTCGTCTTCAACGATGTGGTCGTGAGGAAGATCCTGAAGCACGTTTCCACAAGATGGCTCAGCCTACACAAGTGCATCGAGAGGACGCTCAATCTCTGGGAAGGCTTGAGGTCCTACATCTTGTCAACCTTAGATGCTGATGAAGATGACATGGAGCCTCCGTCGAAGAGACAGAGGTAAGCTCAGCATTGGTATTTATTTTTGAGAACCATATACAAATATTTAGTAAAAATGTTTAGGCATAGCGTTAATGCTATCATAAATAAATAGGCTACATTCTGAAAAGAATAATAAGTAATCTTGAATAAAACGCCATGATTTAGGTAGCTAATTTATTAATTTAATTAAGTACTATAGAGTAATTATTTACTTATACTCTACATTTTGTGAAAAGTGAAATATATCTCATTAAGAAATATAGACAATTCATGTTACTTTAAATGTTGTGAAAATAAAATGTTTTGAATGTTCTTCATCAACCAGCATACCTTATTTTGTATTAATATTTTAACCACCTATTACCTTTCATTTAGGTTGAAGAAGGGTGGTGCTCGTGAACAGAGGCTTCTGAAAGTATTCAAGAGTCCAACAGCAAAGCTGTACATGTACTTTCTACATGCCATCCTGCCAAACTTCGACAGCTTCAATGTACTCCTGCAGTCTGACGCCCCAATGATTCATCGGCTGTATCCATCAATGCTCAAGATCTATCAGGTATTCTAACTATTGTAGATAGCATAAGATTTCAGTCGTATATATGTAAAAAATAACGTTTTATACAATAGAACAATTACACTTGATTATAATGTAGCACAGGTTAATGATTCTGGGAAACTATTATAATTGTACATTCTGTGATGAAGCCATATCTTGTTTTGTTAATCCAGACAATTACTTTTTTCTCAGAGCTTCCTGTCCTGTTTGGTGAAGCCAGCTGTACTGCAGGAGGAGAGTGATGTCCTTCAGGTGGACTTCAGAAATCCCTCCAATCAGAAAGACAGCCAGGAGTTGTTCGTGGGGTTTGCAGCAATGCAAATGATCATAAAAGAAGACATGGAGGGCATGCATGAGGTGAAGAAATTCAGGTTGGAGGTCAGGGACTTCTATGTGAATGTGCTGGCCCTATATGGCAAAGAAGTTCCCCTTCAAAGACAATCTCATCTGCAATGCTGTTGTGGTGGACCCTGCTGTTCGACAGAATCTGTCTATGAGGTCCTTTCTGAAGCTGCTGGATGAACTGCCCGCCTCTGCTGTCCCAACAGATAAACAGGATGCTGTGTGTGTGGAATTCATGCAGTACCAATCCGCCAAAGACACAGACCTACCCCCTTACACAGATGGAGAGCGGGTTGATGCTTTCTGGGCTGCCATGGCAAAGCTGAGGGATCCTGCAACAAGCCAGCCTTTTTATGAGAATCTCTGCACAGTTGCCCAGCATGTGTTGCTTGTGCCTCACAGCAATGCCTACTGCGAGGCCTTGTTCAGCATGGTGCGCAAGATCACTACTGATCAGCGGAGCCAGCTTGGGCGTGGCAAAGAAGGCCATTCTAAGTCAAGTGTTTACAGTGAAACTTATGGCATCCGAAACACTCTGTGTGGTCTGTTGGCAGGGAAGATAAATATCTTCAAAAAATTCACCTGCTGCAACTGGAAACCAGACCCTGAACTTCTGAAGAAAGCCAAATCCGCCACGTACCAAGCACTAAAATGACTGGAACATTCTGTGTAATGATATATTGATGATGTGATGCATGCAATATATTAAATGCATGGTTTATACCAGTATTCATGTGGTTCCATTTCTTCTGATCACCTAATTCGGGGCGTGCACATTTGCCACGCGCAAACCTACCTCTTTTGGACTTTGGAAAGGTGGCATGGTATGGTACTCCTTCAGACTTTTTACGACTCTGTTGTGGCATCAGCCATTTCTATGGTGTGGCCTGCTGGGGCAGCAGCATCTTCTCGGCTGCTGACGGGAAGAGACTGAACAGACTGGTAAGGAAGGCCAGCTATGTCCTGGGGAGTCCTCTGGACACTG